AAAAAAAAAAAAAAAAAGTATATTTCAAGTGCTAACAGCTTAACATGTGGTAATTATGAAATTTTACTTTATCATAATTTCTTACGCAGTACATAATAATGTTCAAGACATAATTAACCAGCCTGATATTATAAGCCCAATTGTTCTTCGCTCTCTACACATAGCCCATCAAGAATATTAATTTGGGCCGTGTTAGCTTATATAATCAGCTGCACCAAACCAGCATTGCAATTTTTGTACCCACTCAATATTACTACCTTTATGACTGGATTTATTTAAAGACAAAAAACAGTATAAATTTTTTCATAAACATCATCATGTACATTTGTTAGGATTTCATTTCTCACATATAACATTATTTTATAATCTACAACTATTCAACACACATATGATTTTTTTCTCATTTTTTTTTGTCAAACATTTTTTTTTTGGGGGGTCAAAACTGCAATTTCCTATTATTTTATCAAAATGTATTGAACGAGTAATTTCATTTCATAAACGTCCTAATAATAATTGGAAGGATCCAGCTCATGTATATTGACATTTTATTATTATTATTATTATTTTTTTTTTCTGAAGGACAGTAAGCAATATGTATGATTCAAAATATAGAGAAAAAAAATTGCCTTTTGACTTTGATTATAAATGAAGAATAAAATTAAATACTCCAAAGCATGAATTTTTAATTAATAATTGAAATGACATCAGTGGAATTGTGATCCATACAGAACATTATTAATGGGACTAACAGAAAATAAAATCCTCCAAATAAGGGACAAAATAGAAGCAATAAATGTTTATCATATAATAAAAATTGGGGAAATGCTATGGCCGTCACGGTACCATCCGTCGGGTGTTTGTGTATTCAACAGCTAAAATACCCGACGAGATAGTATTATAACACTATTTCCCTAAAAATTGAGCAATATTAACAATCAAATTAATTGTCAATCTCACACAATATAACAATAATTATACTTGATAGTAATAATAGTTATTTCCATTTTATTTTCGAGGAAATAAAATTATCTATAATGATATATG